AAGCAGTTTCCAAGGCTGTATTATTGCAATTGAGTTTCATGTAGGTTCCAGTCCCTCCCTAAGCATGTAATGCGGCTGTCCTGCCCACCCCTTCCTTGTTCTCTGATTTGCTTAATTGCTGTGATCTGTGTTTAATTATCACTTGTGAGGGTGCTGGGTTGCACAACCCTGTTTCCCTTGGTATGTATTTATTAAGGGCTTATTTAATGAGAATGCAATTAAGAAGAGGGTGCTCAGTCCCGCTCGAAGGAAGGAAAACGAAAGGGTAAGTTCATGGTGAAGAGCACAAGAAAGCGGAGAAGCGGAGGGAGATTTCAGGTTTGAATCTGGAAACGGTGATTATTTCTCCTTCTAAATCCATTGGAGGTGCAGGCCTGTGTGAGCGTCCAAGAAAGAAGACCAGGGTCCCCAAGCCCTTATGATGGTCCACCTCCTGGTGGAATCAGCCAGATAGGTAGACCCCGGGCATAGCGTCTCCCTATTTGCCCTGTTGCCGGTCATCGAGGGGGTGTAGGGATTTCTGCATAAGCCATAGATGGATCATGCCAAGGCAACCCATTGTGTGGCCTACAAGAGGAGGAACAGGCATATGCTTAGCCTTGTTTGCCAAGCTGCGTTTTGTTGCGCATCCAGTGATGTCTCAAGGGCATGCTTCTATCCCAGCAAAGCTCCTGAGGGTGGGCAGGAAGCAGACAGGTTGCTTAGGGAGAGGGCACTGAAATCTTTCCTTTGTGTCTAGGCTCAGGGGCCTTACCTGGCCCATCCCTACCTCTCATAGCCCCAGGGCCTCCACCCCAGGAGGGGTCCTGTCCTGCTGGCCTCAGCCCACTTTCTTCCTCCCAGCTCTAACTTTGAGTCTGTCTGGCTCCCCTGGGACCAGAGTGTCTTAGCTTCCCTATTAAAGTCAGCTGTGTTTCTGCCTGCTGCGGCAGGCAGGCCCTAGGAGCTAAACTTAGAGTGGGCACTATCCCACCCCGCTTCCCCCCCTCCACCCCAGGGTGGGTGGGACTGATTCCCGGATGTGGCAAAAGGTGATGGAACATTTCCTGCCTTGGCGTTGGCCTTGGAAAGTACGGTGGTAGCCGGAAGATTCCTGCTGGTGTGAATGTTTAATAACATATGGCATGTATTACATACTTTTTTTTACTTCAGCAGAACTTGAGAATCTTGAGCCAAGCCTCAGACAAAACCCCAGCACCCAGAAGAGGATGGGAGAGGGCAGAGGACCCCAGAGAATGGCAAAGAAAATCGCTGTTCTGTGAGAACGGGCTGAGCGATTCCTTAGAGTGAGGAAAGAGATGGCTTTGGGGTGGTAGGATTGAATCCCATAGGATCATGAATAGGAAGACTTGTTCACACACACACATACACCTTGAAATTCTAAAGAGAGAGGTTTAGGACAAACCAAAGAAAGCCTTTCTTTGTTCCAGGGAAATAACCACATGGAAATAATTCCCTCCAGGAGGCAGCCCAGGGTGGAAATATAAATCAATGTGTGAGCAGCCTGGAGACATTCTTGGCTGACTCTGATCATTAAGGGAAGCTAGGGGTGCCCTGGTTACATCCAGACCTGTGATGGGGACAGCCTTGTTCCCCTTCCTCCTCTCAAACACCACCCTCCTCTACCCCAGGATGCTCAGGTCAGACAGACTCTCAGAGGCCCTTCTTGTGTTTTCTAATCTCATCTTTTGGCTTTAACCAAGCTTGGAAGGTAGGACAGACAGCTGTCCCTGCCCTGGCTTGGGGATGTGCACACCAGATGTGGCACCTTTGACTTCCTCAAGGTCGGCAGTGGACCTGACTCGCACCTGCTGAACAGTCCACTTCTGGCTCCCTCATCCTGCTGACGCACCCTCCACAGGGTCTCTGGTGGGTCAACACCTGCATCTGCTCCTTCCTGTCCTCCCAGCACAGACTGACAGGTGGGACAGGGCACGGGAGGTAGGACCCGGGGCATTCCTGTGCACAAGCCTCCCAGACATAGCTGGTAGGACTTAATGACCGGGAGATGGGAGAGCTGTGCAGCGCAGAAGCCAGGCTTGCCTGCGCTCTCTGATGCCTGAACTCCGGCAGGGCTCTGGACTCTGTGGAAACCGTCTCTGCTGGTTTCCTTTGTCCCCTCCAGGTTTCAGTGGAAATGGAAATGCTTCCCTCTGGGAGTCCTGAGTGTATGAGAGTTAAGTCATCCACATAAGTGCACACAAGTCAGGCAGAAATGTGTGCCTGTGTCATGAGCTAGGCCTTAAAGAAACAGTTTTCTCCTCTGTTCTGGACACTTCTTTTGCTTTTTCTGCTTCTGTCTATTTAAAGCAGCCAAAAAGATTTCACTTTTGATGCTCATCTTTTGTGCTCTTGGAGATCTCATTCTAGCTGGGGCTGGAAAGAGGGGATTTGCCTCTGATGAGTTCCCCACTCTTCCCCAGGAGCCGGATTCCTGGACAGGGCTGTCAGTGGGCATTGGAGCTGTGGAGCTCCTTGGAGCAACACTCATACCCTGAGGGGGACTTGCAGCCAACAGGAAGCTGCTCTCCTGAGAGCCTCGCCATCATAGCTCCACACCCTCCCTGTTTGTGGGGGCCGTGAGGGTGAGAAGCAGGACGGGGGTCTCCCACCAGAAGGCCACCTTCTAGTGTCAGTGCCAGCCCTGGGCTGAAGAGTGGAATCCCGTATTTGGTTCTCGTCCCTAGACTTGAAACCCTCATCAGGAGAGCTAAGCTGGGACAACATTGTTCTCCAGGAGAGGCAGTGTCATCAAATGGGAAAAGCAGACCTAAGTCTGAATGCTGAGGACTATGTGGCCCTGGGCAAGTTAATCCCTTTGAGCCTGTTTCTTCATTTGCATATTGGGGACGAAAATGATAACTACCTCATAGGATTACTGTGAGGATTTGATATGTGTTGTTAGCCACTGTTGAGTTAATCCCCAACTCATGGAGACCCCGCGTACAATGGAATAAAACACTGCCCTGTCCTACACCATCCCCATGATCACTTGTGGATGGCACTGTTGTGATCCGTAGGGTTTTCATTGGCTGATTTTTGGAAATAGATCAGCAGTCCTTTCTTCCTCGTCTGTCTAAGTCTGGAAGCTCTGCTGAAACCTGTTCAGCATCATAGCAACATGCAAACCTCCACTGACAGATGGGTGGTGGCTGTGCATCGGGTGCATTGGCAAGAAATCAAACCTGGCTTTTCCGCATAGGAGGCAAGAATTCAATGACTGAACCATCACTGCTCCCAGGATTAAATGAGACAGTACATATAAAATGTCTTGTCCTATAGTACGGGCTAAGGATCCTTGGTGGCACAGTGGTTAAAGATCTCGGCTGCTAATGGAAAGGTCAGTGGTTGGAACCCACTAGCCACTCCATGGGAGAAAGATGTGGCAGTCTGCTTCCGTAAAGTCTTACAGCTTTGGAAAACCCTATAGAGTAGTTCTACTCTGTCCTATAGGGTCACTATGAGTCGGAATCGACTCGAGGGCAGTGGGGTTTTATAGTAAGTGCTCAGTTCCAGATTCACCACTTACCAACTACTTGGCCCTGGGCAAGTTACTTAACTTTTCTAAGCCTCAATTTCATCAACTACAAAATGAGAATAATTATACCTACCTTTCAGCATGCTAATAAAAGTTGGATTAGTATGTATAAATCCTCTAGCACAGTGGTTCTCAAAGAGTGGTCCCAGGACCCCAGCATTCTCTGGGAACTTTTTAGAAATGCAAATTCTCAAGCTTCACTCTAGACCAACTGAATCAGAAACTCTGGGGGCAGGCCTAACCATCTGTGTGTTGACTGCCTTCTGGTGATTCTGATGCTTGCCCAAGTTTGAGAACCACTGCTCTAGAACAATTCCTGGCACATAAAACCCAAAACCAAACCCATTGCCGTCAAGTCGATTCTGACTTATAGCAACCTTGTAGGACAGAGTAGAGCTGCCCCATAGGGTTTCCAAAGCTGTAAATATTTACGGAAGCAGACTGCCACGTCTTTCTTCTGTGGAGCAGCTGGTGGGTTTGAACCACCAACCTTTCAGTTAGCAACAGGGAGCTTAACCACTGTGCCACCAGGGCCCCTTTCCTGACCAAAAGGAGGAAAAAAAAAAAAAAAAAAAAAAAAAAGAGGGCTAATTTAAATAACCTCCCACCACCAATTTGGAACCTGTTAGGCAAATCCCTCTACTCATAGTGACCTTAAGGACAGAGTAGAACTGCCCCACAGGGTTTCCAAGGCTGTAATCTTTATGGAAGCAGACTGCCACATCTTTCTCCCCCAGAGTGGCTGGTGGGTTCAAACCTTTCAGTTAGCAGCCGAGCACTTAACCACTGTGCCACGAGGGCTCCTTCCTTGGCGCTCCATCTCTGTTTTAAAAAGCATTGCTCAGAGGCACCATTACTACCTGCATCATTATCATCTCTCTGTGGGCAAAACAAGAGGAAACTTATTTATGGTGTAGCACGAGAGAATTAAGTTAGATAAAAAAGGTCCTTACAGAGAGTGAGGATGGAAGAAGAGGAAGATTGGTGTGGTGACCTTTAAAACAAGGACTGACTCTGTCAGTCTGGGGAACATGAACAGTTCTGGAAATTGACTGCAGGGCTGTGAGCTGACCTGGGCTGAGGCGGGTTCTCAACCAGCCCAGCCAGTAAACTCAGCGTCACCTCTGCCAAGTCTCCTCCCATACTGTGCCTCGGTTTTCCTATCTGTAAAACGAGGCGGTGGGGTTAATGGGTCAGTCTGGGTCCTTTAGCTCTGACATTTGGGGGTTCCCCTGGCCATGGCTGCAGGTCCAAGAAGTGGAGAGAAGCTGAAGTTTGGGAAGACAGATAGATGCCAGGGAAACCTTGGGACAGAAGTTCGTGCAGCCAGGCTGCTGCTCTCAATTACCCACTGGCCCTGGACTCAGACCCCAGTTCAGATTTCAGTGACCCCTACCTAGAATTTGTATGACTTTGGGCAAGTCACTTTGCTTTCCTCAGCCTCACGTTTGCTATCACATTTAATGTGATTAATAACGCCTACCTTACCAGTATGTAAAAACAAAAACCAAAACCCATTGCCCTCAAGTCTCTGACTCATAGTGACCCTATAGGACAAAGTAGAACTGCCCCATAGGGTTTCCAAGGAGCAGCTGGTGGATTTGAATTGCCGACCTCTTGGTTAGCAGCCATAGCTCCTTAATCACTGCGCCACCAGGGCTCCATAGGGTTTATGAAGAGCAGCTGGTGGATTTGAACTACCAACCTTTTTTGTTAGCTGCTGTAGCACACCATGGTTCTTAACCACTGTGCCACCAGAGACCGATGGCATGGTAGTTAAGAGTTTGGCTGCCAAGCAAAAGGTCGACAGTTCAAATCCACCAGCTGCTCTTTGGAATCCCTATAGGGTAGTTATACTCCGTTCCTATAGGGTGGCTGTGAGTTGGAATTGACTCAACGAGTGTTTTCTTTTCTCTTTTTTAAAATACCAGTATGTGGTGAGATTTCAGTGAGCACTTAGCATGGATCCAGGCCCAGGAAAGGATCTTTATTATTCAGGTCGCTGGGGATCTGAGTAGGGCCATCCCTGAGTCCTCACCCGCGGTGACCCTCCTTTCCCCCCAGTGGCGCGTTTCATCTAGGGGCAAGGATATGTAGGCGAGTAGGGTTTCCTCAAGGGATCTGCAGGGCTGGAGGAGGGCCAGGCCCCCATAAACGGACTCAGGAGGCGGGTTCCGGAAGCTGCAAGTGGAAACGGCACAGGCTGGAGTGGGGTCGCTCTGGGGACATTCCCTGGACGAGGCGGCAGAGTGGGATTGCGGGGGTCGGGCTCCGGGTCAGGAGGGGACAGAGGGTCCAGGGTCTTCCCTCTCTCCCGAGTGCGTACATTCCAGTTAGTCTGGAATCTGCCTCCCCCAGTGTGTTTTCTGCCGTCTGACTTTCTTTCCCAGGGTTGCTTTACTCGCTCCGCCCTCGCTGCCCCTTCCAAGACCTGCCCCATGTCCACCGCTCCTTTATTCCATGCCGGCGGGTGCCGTCTTTCTTCTGTACTCTTATTGCTGAGCAGGGTGCAACCCGAAGGGCTCACTCTGCCTTTCCATCCCTCTGGACAGGGTAGGAGCCTCCCGAGCTCGGTAATGACAGGCCGCTAGGCAGCGTTGGCGGACTGCGGCTGCTGCTTTTCTCTGTCACCTCACGGACAACCCCCCACCCCGGGGAAGTGGGGAGAAAGAAAAGCAAAAAGGGCGACGAGGAGTTCGCGCACTGTCCTAGGGGAATTTCCAGTGAGAATAGAAGGCACCCCGTTCTGCACTTCTTGAGTGGGTGCAGGGAAAGCACCTCCAGGGATTGGGTCCGCAGGATTAGGGGACAGGAGGAGGCGTGGATTCGCAGCAAGGCTGCAAAGACCTTATTTTCTTGGGTTGGGGTGACCCCTGGTGGTCACTCAGAATCCAAACAGCCCGTGGTGACAGGGAGAAAGAAATATCTCAGGAGGCCCAGGAAGTATGGATTTTGAGTATGAGAACCATCCTGAAGTTGACACTGAGGGTAAAAGAGACCTCCCTGCCTGGCCAAGCCACCCCTGCGTCCTCTTCCAAAGCTTCAGTCTGGAGTTTTTGGTGGTGTTTTATTAACGGTGGGGCCCTTTACGCAGGTCTCTTCCTGCTCCCCATGTCCCTGTCGCTGGAAGTGTCTGTGGGAAAGGCCACCACCATCTATGCTGTCAACGGCACCGAGATCCTGCTGCCCTGCACCTTTTCCAGCTGCTTTGGCTTCGAGAACCTCCGCTTCTGGTGGTCCTACAACAGCAGCGATACTTTCAAGATTGTAAGTAGTAGGGGAAGGGACACGACAGCCCTTCCTTCTCATCTGTTCCATGTTGGACTGAGCCCCACTGTGATGGTCCCCAGAGCCCACTTTTTGTCATCCCTTTCTCTCAGTGTTCTTTGCAGAGAGCCTGTCTAGCAGGGTCTAAGTGGGAGGGAATCTACACTTTTCCAGAATGGTGTTGCTAGAATTTAGGGTCTGTTGGATAGAATTCTTGGCTAGAGTCCTCTGTTTGGTCTGAAGAAATGCCTGGAACTTGAATTGCTTTTGTAGATTTAGTTAAAAAAACAGAAAAAAAAAAACAAAAACAAAAAAAAAACAGAAACAAGGAGAGAGAGAGAGAGACCCAGCGTTTGGATTCCTGGAGAGAGGGAAAGAGGAGTCTGAAAGAGGTAAGGGCTGGGGAACTGGACTCGGAAATAAAGGAGAGAAAAATCTAGAGAAGAGCAAGAAATGTGCAGAACCATCGACAGGGCTGTGGAGCAGGGGTGGGGGATGAATCAATTAACAGGTATTTATTGCATACTCACTCTGCACTCTAGTAGGGGACCTGAGACTAACACAGGGAAGCCACAAGAGACCAACTCTGGCTATAAAGACTGAACTTAGAGGGCACTGATGGACAGGGCTGTAGGACTGATCCAGGTCCTTACGGAGGGTCAGAATTTAGATGGACAGGGAACACGGTGCCACGAAAGGCTGAATGGGAAGTGACAGAGAGAAATGAGTGTGGTATTTGCAGGGGTTATTACATAAAAGGCTTTTATGAAGAAGGTAGTAAGAGTAGTGCTACATTCCTTGGCTACCTAATAAAAGGAAATGGCTTTAGGGTATGAACACAAAAGACTTGAAAGCAGGGACTCAAACAGATGCTTGTATACCAGTGTTCATTGCAGCATTATTCACAGTAGCCCAAAGGTCAAAACAACCCAAGTGTCCACCAACAGGTAAATGGGTATACAAAATGTGGTACATACATACCATGAAATATTACTCAAGCCATAAAGAGGAATGAAATCCTGATACATGGTATGACACGGGCTAAATAATGAGAACATTATGCTGAGTGAAATAAGCCAGACACAAAAGGACAAATATTGTCTGGCCCCACTTATATGAAATATGTATAATAGGCAAATGCATAGAGACAGAAAGCAGTGGTCACTAGGGGCTAAGGGGAGGGGAAATGGGACATTATTGCTTAATGGGGACAGAGTTTTGCTTGGGGTGATGAAAAAGTCTTGGAAATAAATAGTGGTGATCTTTGCACAACATTTTGAATATAAGTAATGCCACTCAATTGTACACTTAAAATGGTTAAAATGGCAATTTTTATGTTATCTTTTACCACGATTTAAAAAAAAAGGAAATAGGTTTAGCCTTCAGCAAGCATGATTTAGGTTAGACAAGCAGAGCTATTGGTGCTGGAAGAGGAAACTAAGGGGGAGGAAGAACCTCGAACTGTGGGCTCTTCCTGGGCCCGGACAGGGTGGGTACCTAAGGGAGTGGGCTGGAGTGATGCTTATGACCTTTGAGGATCCTGATTCTTTCTTGCCTACCTCCTCTTCTCCTCATCCTCAGCTCATAGATGGGATTGTGAAGAATGAGAAGTCTGACCCCAAGGTGAAGTTGAAAGAAGATGACCGTATCACTCTGGAGGGTTCCACTAAGGAGAAGGTGAACAACATTTCCATTCTGCTGAAGGACCTGGAATTTAGTGACACCGGCAAATACACCTGTCATGTGAGGAACCCCAAGGAGAACTTTCTTCAACACCAGGCCACCATCTTCCTCCGTGTCGTTGACAAACGTATGCAGTAGGGGCTGAGACAAGGGTAGTGGAGTGGGAAGGACTTGGGGGAGGGATGCCAATTCAGTGTTACAGTGAAATGGTAAAAACTGACTTATTGGTGCTTTCTTTCACTTTATGCTTTCAAGAGTTACAACAGTTTCATCTAGAAGCTAGAAGAACACAACTTGAATGCTTATTCTGCCACTCAATAGCTTGTAAATACACTTAGCCTCTCTAACCTTCATTTTTCTCATCTGTAAATGGGAACATGGCTGCATTCTCCTAGGGTTGTTGTGAGAATTAGAGAAGCTACTGGGAGTGTTTTGTTACTATTAAAGCCCTCTTCCTCTATGCTGATTGTTACTACTATTGCATATTCCATTAGCAAAAGTTGAATGAATGTCAGGTTCTGTACTAGAAAGTTCTGTGAATGATGCATAGTTTTTCTTTGAGGAACTTACAGTTTAGGAAAGAGCAGAAAATGGGTAAACACATAACTGAAATAAAAGGCAGAGCGTAATACATACACCAGGAAAGGCTCAGACAATAGAGATTGAATAAGACATGGTTCCTCCCCTCTGGATGCTTATATCCTAGTTGGGGGTTCCAGTCTGACACAGGTGGAACAATTAGATAGTGAGGGTGGGTATGATGAAGAGCCAGTAGGTTACATGACCCCTGACGCTGAAGGTAGCTACTGAAGGGGAGATGATAACAAGGGCAGGAGAAGTTAGCCTGGGCTTCATGGATGGGAGGAGCCTGGAAGGGTAGAGAAGTACAAAGCAGAGAGAAACGGGGAGGGAACCTGCTCAAGGATTCCGATTTTGCTGCATATTGTGTGTACCTGGGGATTCACTGCTCTCTTGCATGACATGGAATGCCTGGTGAGGGAGACGCCATGGGTTTGATTTTGACCGTGCCAAGGACAGAGCTGGAGGCCACTGGACAGCTTTCTCTCAGCCTAGAGTGCTCTGAGTCAAGTGCAATTATGGTGGCACCTCTTCCTTTCTTTCTGGGCTCCTGTTACCCTGATTGGTGCTCAGTCTTCTCGGGAGGGAAAAGAAGGGGAAGGTTGCCAATATTCATGGGGCATTTCTGGGTGCCAGGCTCTGGGTTAGATGCTATCATTTACCTTAACCCCTTGGCTCCTTATAAGTCCCTTCAAAGTGGGTCTTCTCTCCATTTTTACATATGCATTCATGCATCTAATCAACAAATATTTACTGAGCACCTATTATGTGGCAGACATTGTTATAGGTGCTGAGGATACAGCATGAACAAGGCAGATAAATTTCTGCCTCATAGAGATTATCTTCTAGTGGGAGGGAGGAGACATGTAATAAACAAAACAGAAGAAAATTATATTATATAATAGCACATGGTAAGTGCTAAGAGAAAAAAATGGAGTTCCTAGGGGATACAAACGGTTAATGCTCAGCTGCAAACCAAAAGGTTGGAGGTTCTAGTTCATCCAGAGGTGCCTTAGGGGAAAGTCTTGGTGATCTACTTCTGAAAAGTCAGCCATCAAAAACTCTGCGGAGCACAGTTCTACTCTGATACACACGGGGTTGCCATGAGTCAGAGTCAAGGTTATGGCAACTGGTTTGGTTTTGATTTTATGAGAAAAAATAAAACAAGGAAGGGGAAATGGGGTTCCAGCAGGGTGGCTATGGAAGGTCTCATTAGCAAAAGTGACATAAGAGTGAGGGCATTTGAAGGAGATGAGAGAGGAAGCCATGAAGATGTCTTTGGGAAGATGTTCCAGGCTGAGGGAACAGCAAGTGCAAAGGCCCTGAGGTAGATGTTTGAAGTACAACAAGGAGGCCAGTGTGACTGTAGCAGAGTGAATAGTAAGAGGTGAGTCAGATTAAGTCAGGTTGTGTGGGGCCTAGTAAACACGAGTGAAATGCGAGCAGCTGAAGGATTCTGAGCAGAGGCATTAATGCCGTAACAGGCTAACTCTGGCTGCAGTGTGAAGAATGGAGACAATCAGCGAAGTTAGGATGCTGGTTAGGAAGCTACTACAGATATTCAGAGATGGCATAGGTGAGGCTGGTAGTGCGTGGTCAGATTCTAGGTTTTTTTTGAAGTTAGAGCCATCAGGATTATCAGGTGGATTGATAATGGGGTTTGAGAAAAAGGGAGGAGTCAAAGGATGACCCCAGAGTTTTGTCAGAGCAGCTGGAAGGATGGAGTTGTTCTCATGGAGATGCGGAAGACTATGGGTGGGCAGGTTTGGGAACAAGTCAGGAGTTCAGTTTTCAGATGAGGAAATTGAGGCTGGAAGTGTTAAGTGACCTGCCCAAGGTTACCAGCTAGTGACAGGCCTATAGTTAAAATCCAGATCTATCTGATGCCAAAGTCTTTCCACCATGTCAGAGATATCATAGCGAGATTCTCAATTTTTCTCTGCATTGGCAAAGGAGACCTAGAAAGATGCAATGAAATTCTCACATGGCAGTTTGGGGGCCAAGTCATGACTCAAACCTGGATGCTATGGGCCCTGAGTCTGAATTCTTTCAGAACTTGTGTGTATGTCTGTGGGAGGGTATTTGTGGAGAGGGTGATGCGCTGTTGTGCCTTAGCCTGATGGACGCCATGTTTCAGTTTCTCCTGTTTCCTGCTGTAAGGCCTGGGGAGGGCTGGAGGCCTGACCGTGGACATATCCTGTATGTCAGCGAGTTGTGTTAGGCAGTGGAGGCTGCGCAGCCCTTGGGCAGCCACGGTGCTCAGCTTCAGGTAACTCCTGCTCTCTTGTCTTCCCTTTCTCTTCCTGCTCTGGCCATGCAGTGGAGGAAGTGGACAACACGGTTACGCTCATCATCCTGGCAGTCGTGGGCGGGGTCGTTGGATTCCTCATCTTCATCCTGCTGCTCAAGAAGTTCATTACCTTTATCCTCAAGAAGACTCAGGAGAAGAAGTGAGTTGATTGCCATAGCACGCTCCTTCCTCCCGCCATCCCACCAACCATTCCCGTCTCATGAGTATTCCTAGCGTCCTCTTCTCTTGTGCTACCTTCACCTACCCCCCATCATTCTCCCTAACATCCTTAATCCATACTTCTGTCTCTCATTCTATCCTCTTTTCCTAATCCTACCACTCTCTTTTCTATCCCTGCAACTCTCCTCCTTATCTCTCAGCCCCTCTCCTAGGCTCACCTCCTGTCCGTCATCCTTCTCGATGTGTATTTATTGAATGAATGGATAATGAATCCCACAATCCACTTGCTCTTCCTCATCCCACTATCTTCCTTCCCATCCCATTAGCCTCTTTCTTTCCATTTTCCCCACCCAACCTAAACTCTACCAAAGGATTTAGGCAGACTTTTTAAAATAAATCAGAGAAAATATAAAATTCCATGTACAGAAACTCTAAAAAGGGATGACCCTTCTGAGGAATGGGAATCTCAGTGTAAAATTTTGAAAATTCAAATGGGGCAGAGAAAAAAATCTGAAAAGGCTAATGTGGACTCCCAAGAAACTCTAGGGTAAGTCCAGGTATAAAAATAGACATCTATAAGGGAAAGAGGAAGAAGAGATGGAGGGAGCTACAGAGGGTGCAACCCTTTCCCCAGAATTGCCAGAGCAGTGTCAGCAGGCTTCAAAGCAGGAGGTTGTGATTCTTGCAAAACTGGATCAGGGAAAAGGCATTTGGAGTTGAGTTCCGAGCAAGAGAAATGAGATGAGAGGTCTGCCATTGGAACAGAGAGGGTGATGGTAACAATGGGATGCAAAAGGAAAGGGAGGACACCTCTGCCTCTGTTTGCTTTATTCTGCTCCGTCAAGAAGAGGGAATTAGGCTAGAGAGGGGAGAAACTACACTGGTAAGAGAGAAAGGAAGCTGAAAGCCTGGAAGGGGTTATTAAGAGAACAGAATCCCAGGCACTGACTGAGAAGAATAACTCGTGGGTTGTCTCAGTGCCCCATGGCCAGAGCCTGTGAGGTTTCTGGAGAAGAATTGAGCTGGACCAAATTCTGTCTTTAATAACCAGTCTTACTGTTGATGGCAAGCAAACTTGGGAACAAATCATCAAACATATGTTTTAAAAGCACTTAGATAAGAAAACAGTGATCCTTGGGAGCCACCATGGGTTCATCAAGAACAAGGCATGCTAAACATTTTCTGGATAGGGCACTGGTGGGTCAGACTGTTACAGAGACAATAACACCTTCTATCATTCATTGGATGTCTACTATGCGAGATAGTCCACCAGGCATTTTAAAACAATATCCGTAATTTTTATTTTACAGTTGAGCGTAGTGATGCTCAGAGTGGTTAAATGACTTGTCCAAGGCCACACAGCTAGTGATAGCACTGTGATTTGAACCCTGACTTATTTAGCTTCAAAGCTTAAACTGTTGCTACCATACCCTACTGACTCATTGGGTGTATGAAGAGTTCATTCATTTATTCATTTGATGGCTATTTTTGAGATACTGTGTACAAGGCACTGTGCCAGGTGCCGTAGGAAATTCTAGAAGGAATGAGATTTTGCCCTTAAGGAGATAGGATGTGTACACTATAAACGTAATACAAGGTAGAGGGGTCAGTGCCAGCAAAGACGTATGAAGTTCTGCAAGGGTTCAGAAGTGGGTGAAATACAGGGCTAAGAGGCCAGTTTCCTAGAAACCTTAGTGTCCTAAGGTTGCTGTAACAAATTACCACAAACTGGTGGCTTAAAACAACAGAAATTTATTCTCTCACAGCTCTGGAGACTAGGAAAGTCCAAAATCAAGGTGCCACACTCCCTCTGTAGGCTTAGGGACGAATCCTTCCTTGCCTCTTCCTAGCTTCTGGTGGCTCCCGGCAATCCTTGGTGTTCCTTGGCTTGTAGCTGCATCACTCCAATCTCTGCCTCCATCTTCATATGGCCATCTTCCCCATGTCTCTGTGTCTTTTTCTCATCTTATAAGGACACCAGTCATTGGACTTTGGGCCCACCCTAAATCCAGGATGATTTCCTCTTCAGATTTCCAATTAATTACATCTACAAAGACCCTATTTCCAAATAAGGTCACACGTTGAGGTTCTGGGTGGACACGAATTTTAGGGGATACTATTCAACCCACAGAGGCCTAGGGAGAGATTCCTGGCCAAAAGGTCTTTTGAGGTAGGTCTTGCAAGATAGATATGATTTAGCCCTGGGGAGGGTGAAGAGAATGGCATTCCAGGTGGAGGGACCACTGAGAGACAAGGCAGAGAGTCTGGGAAGTGAGTATGGTTCTGGAGAACAAGGTGTTTTGTTTGTTGAGAGAGTGGAAGAAGGAAAGCCTGCAAAAAGGGTTGAGGACAATCCTTGGGTACCTGGGAGTCCAGGCTGTGACTGGCTTTCCCTCTGCCTGGAGTACCTATGCAGGGGCCTGGTGAGGGCTTGCACCGTGTGGGATGATCAAGGAATTTCAGAAGAAAGAGTCTGGCTATGATGGGCAGAGGGACTGGGTGGAGAGAGGCTTGAGGCAGGGAGATAGACCACGTGGAAGCCTGAGCGGGTCTCTGTGAATGGTGAGAAAAGCCTGCATCACATCCGAGATGGGGTAGCTTCCCAAAAAGAAGGGCAGTGTTGGGACAGAATCTTTCACGATCCTTTCTGGGTTTTTACACGTGTGTTCTATTCTCTCTCCCCAAAATGCCGCCTCCCTTTCCTGACCATTTTTTGCAGGGTTCAGCTTAAATGATACTTTCAAAAAGCCTTCCCTGATCCCTTGACCAGCTAGGTTATAGCCCCGCCTTGGTACACCCCCTGTATATTGTTGATCGTATTGTAGTGCAATCGCTTGTTTAATGTCACATTCCCTGGAAGATTGCAAGGTTCCTGAGAGCAGGGACCATGCAAAATTGTTCACTCCTCTAGCTTGACATAGTGCTTGGTACATAGTAGGTCCTCAGTAAAGGCATGGACTACATGACAGCACAGTTAGGTGGATCAGTAATTTGCTGGGTGGACTATACCTTAGTTTGGCTGATTTTGGTAACACCCATCTGAACAAAGGTCTTTAGAGGCTCTGCCTGTTTCATTGTTATTATTAAGATTTGAACTAGACTAGGGATGACATTTTTATCAAGTTTCCAGAAGCCTAGTGACTGTTACACCACTCGTCTTTCAGTTTGTTGTACATGTTGCTATGATGCTGGAAGCTATGCTACCG